TCAGGGAAGCTGCTGCCCATGATTCAGTTCCTTCAGAAGAGCATCCAGCGTCACTTTGAAGATGTTTCTAAACTGTACGTATTGCTGTCCTTTAAATCTTTTTCAAACTTAAAACATAGTTTTGTACAAAAGCTTAGGGCTATTGAATGTTGGGAGGGAAAATTTGTGTGATGTACTTAGATGAAGCAGAACCTAACATTTAATGTTTTTTTCTTCTGGTGACTTGTTTTTACAGCTGTGAGTGGAATCGCTATAATATTAAATATGCTTTGGCCATTTCCCAACAACGGGGCATGAAACGTCCTGCAGAAACATCAGTGAGTGAAGAGGAGTTGGAGGAGTCTAACAGCGATTATCTTATGGAAGACGCAACCACGCATTCATAGGACAACTTATTTTCCCTTAATTTTCCTATTTCTTTTTGTTTTTTGGGGACCTACAGAAGCAATCACTTGCGCCAGTGGTATTCACTGAGATTAAGTGGCCCTCATAGTGGCTTATTTTGTATATGTTGTGATATAGGCTTGGAGTAATCTGCAAAGATACAGAAGCTGGTTCGATTTAGGATAGCTAAAGTGTAGTCCATACAGTCCCTAAAACATGGCTTATGTCCTCCCTCTTCCCGTAACTGAGGGAGCGAGGACGAAGCTGATCAGCTAGATTTGTATCTGAACTCAAACAAGAAGATACTTGTGTTCATCTGTCAAAAAAGATAAAAGCGCAAGTAAAATTATTGTTTGGTGCGTTTATTTTTGATAAAATGTATATACATATACAGGCATTTTAGGCATTGCAAGTCACTCTCTAAAGTCTTTGCTGTCACAATATTTCTGTGCCCCTGGATTAAACTCTTTTTTTAGTCATTTGTGTGTGTGTCACTTTTCATTAAACATTTGGAGGGTTGCATATTGACCTCAACTCCATTTTGAAATGTTATCCTAGTTGCATTTAATAAAATAATAATTTTATAAATTCTAAAATTATCCAAACTTTAAGCTGAATATTACCCAAAAAAAGGAAAAATATTTGGAATAAATGTCATACCATAGTGTGAACAAATATGTGAGCAAAGATTCTGTGCAGGACAGCATCTGCAAGGAATTTAATTGGTTAATGATCAAGGGTATTGCAGTAAAGATTTATGTCCAGAAATTTCCAGCCTGTTGAATGCAACTTATACCACTATGTAACCAAATCAGAAGAACATTAAATATCTGAATGTTTGTTTCTCTTTTCTTTTTTTCGTTTTAACATGACAGCTGTTGTATTTTTTTTTTTAACAGTACAACCAGGGTTCATTAGGATGTCAGATTCTGCAGGTTTGGGTCTCTCAGTTGCTTTAAATGTGTGTCAACATGAGCACCAGTTAATTACTTTTTTGAGATTCTGGGTATGGAAATGCACGTCTCTTATGCAATACATTAACAGATCTCTATTAGTGAAGAATATCTCACAGATTACGGATGGGGATCAATCACAAGTGATCTTCTATTGAATTCTGTTTTGGTGGCAACACTTGGCAAAAAGGTTACTGAAAACTGTTACAGAGAAAATGTGCATAAAAATGTTTAGACGTAGAAAAAAAATCAGTTTGTATGACTCAACTGTATAAAATAAATATTACTGTATACTCTGGTGATCGAAGTAAATAAATATACCAGTGTAAAACTGTTTTTCCATGCTTATTCTTGCGAATGACTGCTTCCTTCCACTGTTATCCAGGACACAAGTCATTTCTATTCACTTCACTGGCCACGGTGGGTAGTGTTTTACATTCTTCCTACATGATTGTTTATCATAAAAAAATGCAAATCTTTTCACCGTTGCTG